CAGCAAGCTCCCATAAACAGGAAGGAGGCTCAGTTTTAGTGGCATTAGCTCAGTTTAAGTATGGACACAAGGGACAACCACCCCCACCCTTCTTCAAAGTAGGGCCATAGGATTTTTATTAACATCCACCTGAGAGGGAAGCTGGTGCCTCAGTTTAACATCACATCTACAAGAAGGCACCTCTGACAGGGCAGCACACCCTCAGTACAGGGTCAGACAGGATTACTGCCTCAAGTTTCTGGAAGGGGGTTTAGACCTTCAACCTTCTGATACATTGGTAGTGTTTGATCATAGAATCCCCACAGTGCAGAAGCAGGCCATTCAGCCCTTCGAGTCTGCACTAACCCTCCAAAGAGCATCTCACCCAGAACCATTCCCCTACCCTAACCCTGTACATCCATATTGCAATTTCCCATGGGCAATCCACCTAACCTGCACATCTTTGGACTGTGGCAGGAAACCGGAGCACCCAGAGGAAACCCACGCAGACATGGGGAGAATGTGGAAACTCCACACAGCCAGTCGCCCGGGGGTGGGATCGAACCCAAGTCCCTGGAGCTGTGAGCACCACTTTGCACTGTGCCACCCTTTTCTAAGGGTTAATCATGAGGAGATGAGTTTCTTTTAATAACATAGCCTTATAGAATCATACAGTTATAAAGCATGGAAACAGACCCTTCAGTCCAACCGACTGTAATCCCAAACTAAACTAGTCCCACCTGCCAACTCCTGGTCCATATCCCTCCAAACATTTCCTATTCATGTATCTATCCAAATGTCTTTTAAACGTTGTAATTGTACCCACATCTACCACTTCCTCAAGAAGTTCATTTCACACGCGAACCACCCTCTGTGTAAAAAAAATTGCCCTTTTTAAATCTCTCTCCTTTCACCTTAAAATGTGTTCCTTAGTCTTGACATTCCCCATCGTAGGGAAAAGAAAACTACCATTAACCCTATCTATACCCTTCATTATTTTATAAACTTCTACAAGGTCACATCTCAACCTCCTATGCTTCAGTGAAAAAAGTCCCAGCCTATCCAGCCTTTCTTTATAACTCAAACCTTCCATAGAAGGGTCTAGACCCGAAACGTCAGCTTTCCTGCTCCTCTGATGCTGCTTGGCCTGCTGTGTTCATCCAGCTCTACACCTTGTTATCCCCCTTCCACACCCTCAGTCTGTTTCTGTGGTAGAATGCTTACTGCATAGCTTTTATCATTAAGCCATTAATCCAGAGACACGGATAATGTTCTGGGGACCAGGTTCGAATCCCACCATGGCAGATGGTGGGCCTTGAATTTGATTAAAAATATCCGGAATTAAGAGTCTATTGACAACCATTGTCGATTGTCGTAAAAACCCATCTAGCTCACAAATGCCGTTTAGGGAAGGAAACTGCCATCCTTACCTGGTCTGGCCTACATGTGACTCCTACCCACAGCAATGTGGTTGACTCTCAACTGACCTCTGGGCAATTAGGGATGGACAATAAATGCTGGTCCAGCCAGTGACACCCACATCATGTGAATGAATTAAAAAGATAATTCCTGTAATAAAATGTTTGGATGCCAGTGAGACAGGGAAAGGATTCACCTGTGTCAGAAATTAAAAAAACAGAAACCACTTCAGATCGAGGTGTGGAGAACCAAAAGTGAAGAGAAAGCAGCTCTTTGAGAAGAAGGGAGGAATTGGGAATCAGTCGAACCTTTGCAAGCGTGTGGGTTATCCACCTCCGCTGGTCTCCATGGCAACTCTTGGTAGAAGTTCTTGCACTGCTCGCAGTTTAACCCTTTAGTGTTGTGCTTACAGGTACATCTTCCGTGAATCTGAACAAAAACGGGGAGACAAAGCAGCCACAATGTCACAATAGATTAAATATTCCAAGGGACAAGATCCTCACTGAGATAACAGGCTGAAATTCAGCTGGATTAGCCATTCTCTGGTTACATCTCCTGCCTCCACAGAAATGTACCTTTCTAAAATAAAAGTAAAGATTTCTGAAGAAGGGTCTAGGCCCGAAACGTCAGCCTCTCTGCTCCTATGATGCTGCTTGGCCTGCTGTGTTCATCCAGCTCTGCACCTTGTTATCTCAGATTCTCCAGCATCTGCAGTTCCTACTATCTCTAAAGCTTTCTATTCATAGTTTGAGCAGGTTGTGGTGGTACCTTGCTGGGTCAGTCACCTGGAATCACACGCATCTCGTTGATGGAAACCACTGTTCACCAAGTCTGCAGTCTATAGGAATATTGACAAGGGGGTCATAGCTACCAACTTGAGAGGGTCTTACCATTCCAGGAACTCCTTCTTGAATCCCAGCCACTGGAGAGCACTCCGAAGCATGGCCATAACAAAAGCAACTGCCCCGGACCACCAGCTCAAACAAAGCATAATAATATTTCTGCAGGACCTCCATTCGCCTGTCCAGTAGGTTGTCTCCAAGCGTGTGCAGTTTGGTGAAGTGTATTTTCAAGTTAGTAATTCTTAGGAGATCTAGCAGTAATGAAAACACAAAGAAACAATAACGGAACGTGTAGGCAGCTCAGTACGTTATTGAGGAACACTCATCACCTTGGCACGCCTTCTCCAGTCACATGTCTGAGACAAGCTTCAGCCCTGCCACTGCTCCCACCCCCAACCAACACCACCGCCGCCACCACCCCCCCCCCCCACCAACTGCCCCCACCCGCCCAGTCAGATTGCCCCATTGTGTACAGACGGCAGAAACACCAGGGCTGGGAGTAAGACCGACTGGTCATTTTCACACAGTGCGTTGTTGTGATTTGGAACATGCTGCCCAAGAATGGGAGTGTGGTAAATTATGAAGGGGAAATATTTATGTGGCAATGGGATTCAGAGTGATGGGCTAAATGGCATCTTACCATGGAATACGATTCTCTGGCCCAGTGCACACTCTGTGAACTGGAACACTGGCCCAGTACATTCTCTATGGGCTGGAACACTGGCCCACCGCATTCTCTATGGGCTGGAACACTGGCCCAGTGCATTCTCTGTTAATTGGAACACTGGCCCACCGCATTCTTTATGAGCTGGAACGCTGGCCCAGTGCATTCTCTACGAGCTGGAACACTGGCCCAGTGCATTCTCTTTGAGCTGGGACACTGGCCCAGTGCAATCTTTGCACACATGCAATGGCTCACTGCTCTCTTTGGGGTTAATTTAAGGGTCAATGCAATGGCTCTATCTTCTTGCTGAAGACCTAGGCCCATTCTCAGAAGCCCCAACATGCGTCAATTGCTGTCAGGAAGTTAGCTGCCTGCTATCAGGGCTCCCCCATCCCTTTCTCCTGGAGCTGCCAGACACTTGAGAGCCAACAATCCCAGCAGCATCTCCCGAACCCCCAGTGCAATGGTCAGTGCTGCTACTGCGGAACGCCAGCAACATGGAGGAGGCCCTGGATCATGGTCAGTTTGTGGAGCCTGCAAGGCTCAGTCTAGTAGGAAATTGGGTCAATCTGTAGGGGGGGTGTGGAGAAGGTATGTCAGTGTGGGAGCCTGATACCGCCATTTCGAGGCCACAGGGAGGCTCCAATTGTGACGCGGAATCTGTTCCCCTGTCTCATAACATGAACGGGAAGGACATTCTCTTGTGTGGAAAGCACATGGATAACATGGGGTTACAGGGATAGGGTGGGATGCTCTTTAGAGGGTCAGTGTAGACTCGATGGGTTGAATAGCCTCTTTCTGCACTGTAGGGATTCCACTATTCTATGATTTGATTCTACAAAAAGCAATTTTACGAAATTCTGAAATAAAATTTTGTATCAAAAACCTTTCAAACCTTGATACAAAGCCGGAGGCTGACACAGGAACCTGGGAGTAAGCTTTGTGAAGGAAACCTGGCTGGAAACATTGAGATCCCATTCACTTACCTTGAATCTCCAGGCTGTAGGGATCAGCCACCTTGATGGCAGGATCTAGCACTTTGTAAATGACCTGCAAAAGGATTTTGATGGATTCATTAATCGACAATCTTGTGCTGCTGATAAATGGAACACATTCTGAGATGGTTCGAAGTACTTCAGAGCCAATTAAGTTTGTTTTTTTGAATTGTGGTAACATCACAGATACAGAGCACAGCAAGATCCCGCATGCGCACTCTCATGGATAAGAGGATGACCTTCTTTCTGTGATGCTTATGGAGAAAGATCCATTGTCTCAGACATTGCGGAGAACATTTAGAGATAGTAGGAACTGCAGATGCTGGAAAATCTGAGAT